GCTGGTTCTCTGATAAAATGCTTGTCAACTTCGATGTGCTTTGTTCTATCATGTAGCACCGGATTGGCAGCAATGCTTATAGCTGCTTTGTCATCACAAAATAGAGTTATGGGTTTGGCCACTGGGAAACCCAACTCCCCCAACAAAATCTTTATCCATATGCCTTCAGCAACCCCGTGGGCCATAGCACGATATTCAACTTCAGCACTGGATCTAGCCACCACATTTTGCTTTTTACTCCTCCATGTAACAAGGTTCCCTCCTATAAAGGTGCAGTAGCCATTGGTAGACTTTCTGTCACTTTGGGATCCAACCCAATCTGCATCTGTATAAACTTCAACTTTCAAATGTCCGTGCTTTTGAAATAACAARCCACTACTCGGATACTTCTTTAGATATCGGAGGATTCTCTCTGCTGCTTCAAGATGGGARGACCTAGGAGCATGCATGAACTRACTGAGGACACCAATAGCATATGCAATGTCTGGGYGAGTCATAGAAAGGTATAACAATCTCCCMACAAGCCTCTGAAACTGTTTCACATCCTTGAGAGGTTCACCACAACTGTCACCTAATTTATGGTTGGGGTCAATGGGAGAGTCAACTAGCTTCACCCCATCTTCCCTGTGTCCTGAAGTAAATCTAGGACATATTTCCTTTGAGAAATGAAGATGCCCTTCTTTGATCGGGCGACTTCAATTCCAGGGAAGTATTTGCAGGTCCTAGATCCTTCACTTCAAACTGAGTCGCAAGAAAAAGTTTCAATCTCTGAATTTCATCCTCCCAATCACCAATAACAATTATGTCATCCACATATACAATTAGAGCAGCAATTTTACCTTCTCCTCTTTTCTCAAACAGTGTGTGATCTGATTGACATTGCATGTATCCTTTCTGTTGAACTGCCACATGGAATCTGCTGAACCAAGCTCTTGGTGATTTTTTTAGCCCGTATAAGGACTTCTTCAACTTGCACACTTTCTATTCATTGCCTTGAGCTAGAAAACCAGGAGGTTGAATCATGTACACTTCCTCTTCAAGGTCACCATTCAAGAATGCATTCTTGATGTCAAGCTGGTGTAAAACCCAATTCAGATTAACTGCAAGAGAAAAAAGGACTCTAATGAAATTCATCTTGGCAACGGGGCAAAAGTTTCTACATAATCAACTCCATACACTTGAGTAAATCCCGTTGCCACTAAGCGAGCTTTATACCTTTCCACTGTTCCATCAGCCTTATGCTTGACTGTGAACACCCATTTACATCCAACTAGAACCTTTCCCTTAGGAAGATTAACAAGTTCCCATGTGCCATTTTTGAGAAGGGCATTAATTTCTTTCCTCATGGCATTTGTCCACTCAGGAACTGAAAGAGCTTCTGCCACATTCTTAGGGATAGGGACACTGTCAATAGAGGTAAGGAAAGCATGTAATGAGGGTGAAATGTTATCATAGGAGACAAAGTTGGAAATCGAATGTTTAGTGGTGCACAATCTAACACCCTTCCTGTGAGCAATAGGGCGKTCAAGATCATTAGCAGTAGAKGAATCATTTTCAATAGATTCAAGGACATCATTGGGAGCCAAAATACCTGAGTGAGTATGATCCTCCCCCGAGGAGTCTGGTGGCACTAGAGGAACAACTTCCGGATTCTCTACAGCTCTTGAATTTGGTTGGCCTTTGTGATAACGAGAAAAAACACGAAGAGGCGGAGGGTCAGGGAGAGAGGGAAGTTGAACCAGTTTCTCCTCATGCCTACACTCCCCTTGAGGAGAAACAAAATAGAAAGGCTCATATTCAAAGAAAGAAACATCCATGGAGACATAGAATTTATGAGAAACAGGATCAAAACAATGGTATCCCTTTTGAGTGAAGGAGTAACTAAGAAATATACAAGGGATAGTACGAGAATCCAATTTCCTACGGGTGGGAGACAAATTTTAGACAAAACACTGGCAACCAAAGACACGAGGAGGAATAGAAAGAAGAGGAGCCTTAGGAAAGAGAAGTTGGTGTGAGGCTTTGTACTCTAACCAACGAGAGGGCATACAATTTATAAGGTAAGTGGAACAAAGAACAACTTCAAGCCAAAATTGTTTGGGAACATTCATATGAAGAAGTAAATGCCGAGCCACTTCAAGGAGATGTCGGTTCTTCCATTTGGCCACATCATTTTGTTGTGGTGTGCGGGCACAAGAGCTACGATGAAGGGAACCATGCGAAGCAAAAACTTCATGAGGTCACTATGAAAAAATTCATTTGCATTGTCTGATTGAAAAATTTGGATTTCAGTTTGAAATTGAGTAAAGATCATCCGCTGGAAATCTTGAATGATTTTTGGTACTTCTTCCCTAGTTCGCATCGGGTATACCCAAGTATATCTAGAACAATCATCAATTAGGGTAATGAAATACTTGTAGCCACTCTCAGATGGTAAAGTAACAGGGCCCCAYACATCAGAATGAACAATGTGAAATGGAGATTCAGATTTACTATTTCTTTGAAGAAAATGAGTTCTACAATGCTTAGTTAATTGACACATTTGACAAGAAAAATTAGAAACAGACATTGACTTAAACAGTTCTGGGAATACGACTTTCAAAGACTCAAAAGACAAATGACCAAGACGACAATGCCATAAATAGACATTTTTCTTATAGGACTGACTCATAGACTCTGTAACATGAAAACCAGCCTTATTCTCCAGCATGTAAAGTTCATAAGCCATACGACCCCTACCAATCGTCATTCCCCAGTCCAGATCCTGAATCACACAATGGGAAGGGAAAAAAGTCACTAAACAATTCAAGGAATTAGTAACACTACTAAYAGAGAACAAATTAATGGGAAATTTTGGAACATGAAGGACATCAAAAAGGGTAAGACCAAGAGGAAGAGAGAGAGTTCCTTGACTAGTTATGGAAGAGTATGATCCATCGGCTAGTCTCACCTTGTTTCTTCCAGAAAGAGGGTGATTGGTTTGAAAATAAGAGGACGTACTAGTCATATGTTTTGATGCTCCAGAATCAATGATCCATGGAGAGTCAAGGGTGTGAGGAGCAACATGGAAAGCAGTGGCAGGGTTACCTAACGTAGATGCAACATGGATACAGGCACTTAACAGTAGGGCAGCCGAACAGTTCATCAAACAATAGGCATCCGAACAGACAAGGATGATAGTACCTCTTTTTAGTTTCAGAACTCCTTCTACGAACCTCAAACAATAGGCAGCCGAATAGAAGATGACCAGTACTTCTTTTAGTTTCAGATGATAGCCTTTCTGAAGATAGAACACCCTCTACAACCTCAAACAATAGTCTCTCTACAGTCGAGCAGACAAGAGGTGCAACTTCTGGGTTGGAAGATGAAAAGACTGTAACTTCTGGGTCGAACTGATTTCACCAGATTAGGAGTTCGATTGGAGACAGCACTGGATGCAACAGTAGTTTGCTTGACACCACCCTTCAGTCCTGGACGACTTGCTCTGATACCATGTTGAGCAAGAGCAAGAGAAGAGAGGAGAGGAGAAGAGAGAAGAGAGGTGAGTCGAGAGACTGAAAGCCGTCCAGAGCTTAGGGGGCGAATGAAAGAAATTATTATTTATACCCTTGTGGTACTAAACCTGAATATACAAACAACTGTCAACACCACCCAAGCAATGGAGTCTCAAATCTTTTAGCCTCTAAACTTTTGTGGCGTAAAACCTGCAAAACAAACTTGTATTCTAACTATATACATATTCAGGTAATCTACGTATGCTATGGTTAAAAAAGTTCTTGATCTTGCAAACTTGTCGGCGATGGTACCGCAGACTAAGAAGAATAATGAAGAAGGCGATAAGACAACTATATATCACCTACAATACAGAGCAAAGAATACCAAGAAAGGCATACAAATAGGCAAAACGGAGAAGAAGATAACAAAATACAAAAGGAAAAACAAAAAACAAGAGAACAAAAATTTCTTAGAACACTTACTGGTGACGAGAGATTGGAAGAGTGGGAGTAGCAGCAACGGTTCAAGGAATAGGGATGAAAGCCTTAACGTTAGGGTTTTAGCGCATTTTCCATTGATACAATGCGAACCATAGAATCATTGTTTATGCGAGCCATGTTGGCCACCACATCAAATCCACCTTGAGTCCACCATCCACATCACAATATCGTGGCAAGCAACGTGTATACCAGAAATCGAGGCCTTCATATTTGCCAACATTTTCTTTGATAAACGCATCCAAATAACTCCTGTTTATTAAATGTAAACACTTCAATGGCGCCTATGTGGCACCGTTTTTTATGATAAACGGAAGCCATACCAAATACCCCCTTCATAATTGTGCCCAAACGCATTTCTTATCCAAAGAATCCGTAAGTGATTTTTTTGAGTGATGCCGAGGGCCTTAAAAATTTCAACTTCTTTAATGCCAATGGAGTCAGGGTATAAAAACCCCTTGTACTATGGGGTAAGTTATAAAAACCCCCTATATTATAGGGTCAGTGACAATGACCCCATATATTTTAATTTGCGGTAAAGACTCCCTTCTTAGCATTCCTCAATTACCTCGAAAAAAGATTCTCATTCAGTTATTTTAAAAGGAGAATAACTTTAAAATGTAATAATTCAGTACCCCAAATTTTCAGAATGTACAATTTAGTACTTGTCATTAATCAACAATTAACCTGCTGTTAAGTAACATTTTAAAAAACACAAACGTTCAAGTGTCATTTAATTTTCTTTATCAATTATCTAAACATTAATAAAAAATTAATAATTCCAAATCCTTGCTTCTTCAATTCATAAAAAGTTAAAGTTACATTTAAGTGAATATTCTAATAACTAGCTTTTTTTAATATAAGAGGCAAGAATTTAAAATTTTAATTTCTTTATCAATTATTTTTTTTTATGAATATTTGAATAGTTGATAAAGAAAATTAGATGATATGTCTTTTTAAAATGTCACTTACTTGTCGCTTTGGGACCAAATTGACACTTGACCCAGAGTAAGAAAGACATCTCCTCCTACATCCCAGTATCAACAGTTGTTAACAGGTATTTGAAGAAATTTTTGGTAAATTTCAGTTGTAAGAGGTAACACGTCTAAGCGAGAGCGAGCGTCAGCTTGGAAGTCGCATTCTAAGCAGTAAGCAGCCTAGACTTTATGCGCACGCGACGGATTGTTCTGGTTCTTCACATTTAGACGGAAGAAGGGAGAGAAGGAGGGCCTATCATGAACAGAAAAGGTTTAGCCATTTTGATGAGAACCAGAATGAGACTTACTGACCCAAACAAACTCTCAGTCTCTCCTGTAAGTAAACCAACTCCTTTCTTTTCCCTTGTCCCTCTGTGCACCACTGCACATCCACAATATCCAATTCACGTCGAATCGTTTGTTTTGTTTTCTGTTTATGATTTTTCTGTTGCATTCAGTAACATTACAGGCAGATTTAAAATGTTTCATATGAATCTTCAATTTGTCTTGAAAACCGCTGTTGTCAGTCAATCAAATTAAACTTTTGATATTAATTTTTTTAATTATAAGATTTAAGGTTCTGATTCATCGAATTTTATTAATTATTTGTGTCTTTATTTAATTAATTATGTATCGAAAGAATGAAGCTAGTCGTGTCCAATCTGATACCGGACACTCCGAATCTGATGAAAATTTTGTGCGAGTTGCTTCGGAGGGATATGTTCAGAAGATCAATTCACCAAGCAATTCAGAGAGGTCTATTTATTGAATGCTTTTTTCTTCCCTGTTTCAAACACCAAGATTTTCTGTTCATACAATGAAAAAAATGTGTTTTTTGCCCCATAGAGATTTCAATGTTGTCCGGGAGTCGATGCATGCAGCCATTTCTATGAATAAAACAGAAGTCATGGATGCAATTCTTAATAATTTCTCCGAGGTATGATACTTATAACAAGTAATCATGTTAGGAAGCATATCTTATCCTGGTAGTTCTATTAAATATTAATGGAGTGAGGATGCAGGGCTACCATAGTCTTTCTCATGATAATCGCCGGAAATTGCTAATTGCACTCGCTAGAGACTATGATGTTAATAGGAAACAAGTTCGCGAACTTATTCAGCAATATCTAGGTCTCGAATTTCCTGGGGGTGAGTCTGATTTTGATGTTTGAGCTAGCTCATTTTTTCTCAATGTTATTTTAATGAGAATTACATGGTTTCAGGCGACAAGTCTCAACCAACTACCTTTGATGAAGGAGGCTTGCTAGCTGCTCTTTATAGGACTGAGCGTAATCTGAGACATGCTCTCAAGCCAATGTACCAAATTCTGTTTGAACGGCTCAACACACACCCTGGAGGGTTGAAATTCTTGTCTATTCTACGTGCTGATATCCTCTCTATGCTTGCGTAAGGTTTTGATCCATTCCCCATGAATATTCCGTAGTTATCTTATTTATTTATCTTTAGTTACTTGAACCTTAAATTTCAAGCCATTTACAACCATAAAAGTATCATGATGTCTTATGAGATAAATAATCCGCTTTGGGGCTGCATTGTGGTAGATTGGGATATAGAAATTGTTTATGTAAAAGGAATAAGTGGTAGGTTTTAGGTTTGTGCCACACAAGAATTGGAAAAGGGTCCATACCTTATTAATTCCACACAGATGAATACTTGAATGGAGCATTTAATTTCCTATTCACTACTGAAGAGGTTGCAGTAGAAAAGCTTCCTTTTTTAGGTGATGCTGATTCTTTTGTCTTAAAACCTGTTTTTGGTGATGCTGATTCGTGTAGATTGGAATGTAGAAAATTTTATGCAAGGAAATAAGTATTAGCACTGAGGTTTATCTGGCCAATAAAAATGAAAGTGTGTGTGTCTATATACATATAGCTTTTAACTGTACAAGTACCATATATATATATATATCTTGTTTGGCATTGTTCAATACTTGTATGGAGAATTTGATTTCCTAATTGGTTTCTGAAGACATTGCAGTAAAGAGAGATTCCTTGTTCAGGTGCTGCTGATTCCATTTTATTAAAGCCCTTAAGTTTGTGCTAATTCTGAACCTATGACATCAACTTGCCTAGGTTGTTGAGTCCATGCTTCTGAATCCCTTGGATTTGTGTTGATTCCAACCCTAGGATGTCCCCAAATTTTTGGTTATTTTAGATCATATCCTTCCAACTTTCCTTCTTTAGTCCTATATTTGTGTTTTGACCCTAAACCTGAAATGCTAGGTCACAAGGCCAATTCCTTTAAACTTTAAAACCCGTTACATCTATCTTGGACTTTTGATCTTTAATTCCACCTTCTGCTTGGAAATGAGCCACTCTGGGAACCAAAAAACCTAAAACTAAATGTGAGACACCTATGATTCCATTTGGCATTAATTTTAGGAATTAACATTGTTTCCGCCCTTATGGGTCTTAAAAAGCTGTATCTATTAGTTCTCATAGGTCTTCTTTAGAGTTCCAAGCAAGTGGAGATCTGGGCATTGTTGTAACTATCCTCAATTATTTTTTTTTAAATTTCTTAATTACTTTCTATATATAATGGGAAAGACTTTTATTGGAAAGCCATTCAGTGAAGATCATCATAATAGGCACTGATTTCCCATAACCACCTTTTAACAAGAAGCTTGAAAAACTTCTTGTTAAATAGATTTTGATTCTTCTTCAATGAAGATTATCATTCATCAGATCAGAAGCAAAGAACATGAAGGAAATCTGAAATATGATTACTGATAAAAAAAATGAAGGAAATATGATTCATGATATGATACTGTTTAAGCATACAGGGAAGAAAATATTGCATCTTTGAGGGCATTAGACTCATATTTAAAGGAAAAGCTTGTTACATGGCTTAGCCCTGCTACTTTAGAGCTTCATCGTATTACATGGGATGATCCAGCTTCCTTGCTAGAGAAGATTGTTGCTTATGAAGTAAGATTTTCACCAGTATCTTGTTGCTTCTTTCTGATTGTATTGTTTAAGGTCATACATGACTGAACATATAATCATCATTATACATCTTTTATCCACTTCAGGCTGTGCATCCAATCAACAGTCTTATTGATCTCAAGAGAAGATTAGGAATTGGCCGCCGCTGTTTTGGGTATCTGCATCCCTCTATACCTGGTTGGCTACTCTTTATCTTTGATTGGGAAAGAAAAATGACATTACTTTTTATTGATGTGAGATTTGTGGCAATAGTTCAGGTGGTTTCTTTCTCTTTGAAACATGTTTCTCATTCTTGGAATATTTTTTATTTTTTACTTTGATAACTTCTTGATATTTATTTCAGTTATCGTATGATGGCTATCAAATATCATAATCCCACTCAATATTGAGGTTCTTCAATTAGTTAATTGCAATGCATTATAGAAATATCCAAAATAAGGAGTTATTTTTGTCAAGGAACAAACCATTGCATTTGATTGTTGCTACCTGAATTTACACAAGTTATATGTAACTTGTTGGATTTGCTAAGATTTGAATAATAATGGCTATCAATTTTATTTATTGGTGATAATGACTATTTACCATTATGTTGAGATTCACAAGCCAGCTGCATTTTAGTATTTGATCATATTTGAGGAAGATAGGTGGTGTTCTGCAGGTGGGAAAATCAATTTTTTTTTTAATTGATAAAAAACATTTTTTTTTCCAAGTGAGATTCAAGGCCATCTTCATGTGAAGGCAACTTAATTACACTGCGATTCAGCATGCAGTTTTCTTGGCAGCAGAAAAATATGAATGAGCATTTTGGTTAATTGGAATATCATCCTAATACCATTGATTGACATCCAATTTCCAATATTCAAGTCATAAAATTTGTTTAACTGATTACATGATTTCCTTCAGGTGAACCCCTTATTTTTATTGAAGTTGCACTTCTGAAGAATGTGGCTCAAAACATACAGGTTAGAAACTTTTCCCAAAAAAAAAAAACAGACATCTATTTTATTGTTTTTTGTTATTTATGGAATTCTTATTGTTTTCATTTTAATTCAGGAAGTGTTGTGGGATCATCCTCCCATACCAGAATCTGAAGCAACATGTGCATTATTCTACTCTATATCATCAACTCAGGTAAGCATTATTTGAAACTATTTCAAAAGTAACCTCTAATTTTTAAACTGGAATAAAGCATCTTGGAAAAAAACATTTAGATTGTATTTGTTTCAACATAAAATGGTTGGAACTTTTTTCAGGCTGAAATATTTGAGTTATATTTTCCCCCTTTAAAAAGAAGTTTTTTTTTTCTTTTCTTTCCATTAAAGGAATGTGGAATAAAGGTTTTTTCTGTAAAAGGGTGGAAATGGTAGCTGAAATATTTCAGTCCGAAAAATTTGTCCATTTTATGGAGAAACAAACCCAGCCTTACTACAGTTTACTCATTTATCCCAAAAAGCAGGCATTGGGAATGGCAAATGCATGTTATTTAAGGGAAATCTTTTAATTATATTATTCACATTCACTTATTTAACAGTTTATTCAGAAATATCATTGAACAATATAATCTAAAGACTTTCTATTTAATCTTCAACTCTGCTTTCTCCAAACCAACAGTCAGGCCTAGTGGGAATCAACCTTGGGAAGTTTCTTATTAAACGTGTGATTGAGCTGGTGAAAAAAGACATGCCACATGTTTCTGTAAGTATCTTTATCTGATTTTAGACCATATAATATTAGATATCTGGGGTTATTGTTTACTGAACCTTAACCGTTAGATGGACTCTTTTGAGAAATGGAGATGGCAAAAATCAACTTACGTATATTTGATCTCTAAAATGTTTTTGTTCTATTAGTTTCATACCCCATAAAATTTGTCAACATTCCTTGATTAGTATCACACAAATGATAGTGAACAATATTATAATCTGAATCATTAGCAATGTCAGAGACAGCAAACTCATCCCCTGTTATTTAATGACTTTTTTGTTGTTCAGTACTATTATTTCATAATTGAAAAGATCATACCATATTTATCCACGTAATTTACTCTCTAAGAAATGGCATAAAAATGGATGGAACTGTTTACTGGGTCTAATGGATTGGTTAGGATCTTTTTATCTATTAATATTTTAACCATATGCATTACAACACTGAAGGCTGTTAGGTACTGAATGTTGCCCTTTCATATAGCATTTCTTACTCTTGTAAGCAATCTCTAAAGACTTCAAGTTATCAGAATATGATCCAGTATCATTTGCACCAAGAGTTTGAACTATGCAATCTTATCTGGATAGACTGTGAGCTTTCAAATCTAGGTCCTATGCAATCTTATCTGTACACGAAGTTCCTATAATGCCATCCTAGAAGTTGGCAGCTTATTCAGATCTTGAACTACTTCATGAAAGTGGTCATGTGAGCTATTACATCTAATACCACAGATCCATATATACATGCATGTATATATGTGTAAAGATTATTTCTCTATTATGGATTCCACTTCTTTACTCAATATAACATGATTATTCTGAAGAGCCTAGTCATTTGCTATCTAATCCATGGCTTACACTTGGTGATGGTTTCTGATTTTACAACTTCTCCATAAAGACATTTGCAACACTTAGCCCAATCCGAGGATACATGAAATGGCTTCTATTCAAGTTGGGATCTCAATCAAAGCTTGCTGAAGCAGAGAAAGAAGGCATCTCATGTTCATTGGAGAGGTCATCAAGTTCTACATTCCGGGAGAATATACTTCAACCAGAAGAAGAAAAAGCATTGTTGGAATCATCTGTGTAAGTTACCTTCAAGGACCTTATTGTAGGTAATAAGAACTATTCAGCGATCTATTACCTTATTGTAGGTAAGTTTAGAAATATTTCGGTTGCAATAATCAAAACTAAAATGTTAAACTGAACATTTTTAACTATTTATTTCATTAATGAAAAAGTTGGGTTTAAAATGTTTAAAATCATTAGTGTGTTTCTGATACCCTAAGTAATGAAATTTCTTTTTTTTTAATTTTGTTTCAGTCCAATAAACCAAAATAGCTGAGACCTTGGTTTTTTAAAACCTTGATTTGTAGCAGTCATTAATATATAAAATCAAGCATAACATGGAAAATAACCTTTTAACCATAGTTTTCAAGGCACCAAGGCGAGGCTAGGCAATAGGGGAGCGCCTTGTTGCCTAGGCACCTGCCTAGGTGATGGATTTTTTAAAGTAAAAAACATATATCCTAGGGTACTTGTGTAGGTTCCATAGCCATATTTCCTTAATAAAATATCCATAATTTTCATAGTAAAAGTATAAACTTCATGTTGAAGTATAGAAAATCAACATATTCATAAGAAAAAGAAGAAAGAAAAGAAAATTCAAAAGATATGGGGGCTGAACCCTATTTTGTTATAGGAAAAGAAGAAGAAGAAAAAAAATGCAGCATTTAGCAATGTTTGTGTTGATTAAACCCTAACAAATAAGAAATAATAAAAGAAATTAGTATATAAACACACATAATGAATATTTTAGTTTAATAATGTCTATTTTATAATTATAATCTCAAAAAATTAAGAATATAAAAGTATTTTATAACACAATGTACAAAACTTCTTGGCGATTAGGTGAGGCGAGCCTCCAAGGGTGCCTTGCCGCCTAGGTGTTACCTTGACAACTATGATTTTAACATCTAAAAGATTCTGGTAGGACATTTCAGTCTTGATGTTCATTTCTTAGATAAAATTACCAATACCTTGACTCCACTGAATTGTTTGGCAAGGGTAATAGCATCATGCCATATGGAAACTTAATTAAATGAAAAAAAAAAACTTTACTTTTGCCATAAGGTAACCACTTCTCTCCTATCTTATAAGCCAAAGTAAATAGAATGATGCATATGGTTACTCCTTGAATAGATTCCAGGAAAGGGGAAAAGAGAAAAATGAAGCATGAGTACACTTGATCTTGAAAGTACAAAAGTACACATGATACATGATATGGAACTTTTGACGAATTATAGACTGTGTTGCTGAGGATGCTAGTTAGATGCCTATTTTCTGCATGGACATGCTGTTCTGTATCCAGGTGGTATCATGCATTCCTCCCAGTTTTTCTTTTTCTTTTTCTTATCACTGAAACTTCTCCAAGTTATGCATTTGGTGTTGATTGTATCCAAGGAGTACCATTGCAATGACTACATTCCAGGAAAATATGAAGCATGATTTTGTGGAGCTTGAAGAAACAAATGATAGATTATGGCATGGAACTTCTTGAAGTTAGAGATGGTGCCTAGAGTTCCAGTTTATATCAAGGGAATATTCTCCCTTTGTTTCTTATCAAAAAAAAAAAAAATAAAATAAAAGAAAAAGAATTCTGGGTTGACAAGCGTGAGAAAACATGTTTGAGCCTGATTGCAGCCACTTTGTGCAAAAAATTATCAAGACCCTGATATCTGGGACCAACATTATCAAGACCCTGATGTCCAGTTCACCCTTCCAAGACTCTGATATCTGGGATCGACATTGCTAACTTCCCTAGGCCACTCCCCCCCCGAAAAAAAAAAGAATACATAAGTAAAAATTTAAAGCAAGAAAAGAACAAGAAAAAGAAAAATCTTATCACCTGAATCAGTTTCATGTAATTGTTCACAAGTAGAATTTCCTTATCGTGCTTGGTGGATTTAGGTTTTATTTTATCCATGCCATTGAAATGCTTCTAAGTTGCATGGCAACGTTGCTGTCTTATGCAGGGAATTTACTTCTGGGGAAAATGGCATGGAAATGATGTTGAACTTGTTAACTTCAAAAAACTATGAATGGACCAAGTCTGATAGATTGTTATCAGTATTACAAGCCCCTCTAATGAGATTGTGTGCCAGGTATGATATACTCTACAGTCTCTACCATAAGGAACTTCACAAGTCATCAACCCAGGGCAACTAGATTACAAGGTGAATTCCTGGGATTTGATCACAAAAGTTATCTATGAGAAATTCCGGTGATTATCAAAATTTAATAAGGAAAAAATGAATTGGTGGAAAAACATCTACTCTTTAGGTATACGATATTAGTCATTTGCAGCAAGAGAATGATTTAACTTTTTAAGGGAAGAATGTGAAGGGACAGAAGGGAAACTATATTTTCTGACTTGGTCTTCAAAGAATAGATAAGGTGAAATAATATTAGGGTGGAATGCTATGGGAAAAAATATTATTATCTGGATTGATTTGTAATGAAGTGGCAAATGTTGTACTCAATAGGTTTTTGTGAAATTTAAATTAACAGAGGCTGGCTCATATCTTCAGGTACCTTATTCAAGAAAAAAAAAGAGGGAAGGCACTAGATTCTGTTGCAAATTTTCACTTGCAGAATGGAGCGGTATGTTTTCCACCTCAAGGATTGAATAACCTGTTACCACCAAAGTCTTCTCTTTCAATGTCTTTTTGTTATCAGCAACATGTAGTTCAGCAAAGAAATAAATGAAGAAAGTAGGAAAAGAAAGAAGAAAAGAGACGAAAAGAGAAGTAAGCAAGAAGAAGAGAAGAGTTCCTTCCAAAATGTCTATAGCTGGCAGTGCCTAAGTATTTATACATGGGGCAGCAGCTTACAATAAAAGGAATGGAAAAATACTAAAATACCCCTGTGACAATATACTTAACATATTACAACACTCTCCTCAAGTTGGAGAATATATGTCAATCATGGTCAACTTGTCACACAACTCATTATGCCATAGATAGTGTAGGCCTTTTATAAGAACACCTGCTAGTTGTTCTTTCTTTGGAATTGATGCAAGGAGTACAAACTTCACCCTTCTCAAGTTTTTTTCTTATAAAATATTTGTGAACTTCAATATGCTTGGTCCTATCATGAAGAACTAGGTTTGCCACAATATAAATGGCTGCCTTGTTGTCACAATAAAGGGACATTGGATCATCAATAGAGAAGCCCAATTCACAAATCAAAATTTTTACCCAGAGTACTTTAGCAACTCCATGAGACATAGCCTTTATTGGCTTTTGCACTAGATTTGTCCACTGCACTTGGTTTTTTTGCTTCTCCAAGTGACTAAGTTTCCATCGACAAAGGTGCAGTATTCACTAGTGGACTTCCTATCATCAACTTCACCAACCCAATCTGCACCATTGTAAACTTCCACTTTCATCTGACCGTATTTCTTGAACAATATACCAGTCCCTGGATACTTCTTTAGATATCTGAGGACGCTCCTTGTTGCTTCCAAATGGAAGTTCTTGGAGCATGCATGAATTGGTTGAGGACACCAACAACATATGCTATATCAGGCTGAGTCATTGATAAGTAGAAAGTCTTCCTACCAACCTTTGAAACTTCTTGACATCTGTCATAGGTTCTCTAGTACAATCACCAAGTCTGTGATTTTCGTCAATAGGTGAGTCTGCCAGCTTTGCTCCCAACTTTCCTTTATCTTGTAAGAGATCTAGGATGTATAAGAAATGAAGATGCCCTTTTGAGAACGTGCAATCTCAATTCCAAGGAAATAACATAATTGTCCTAGATCTTTTTAACTTCAAATTGCATAACTTGGGATTCTTTCACCTTTTGAATCTTAGAGTCCCAGTTAGGAATGGCAACGGGGTAGGGCAGGGATGGGGAGCCAACAAGGACAAGGCTATACCCGTTCTTGTCCCCGCCAACGAGGACAAGGCTATCCCCATCCTGCGGTGGTGCCCACTCCCCGCCAATACATTGAGCAAAATATGTATGATTTTAGACACATAAAATCGCTATTACAATGACATAATCCGAACAAACTTTATTCAGACATCTAATTGTTTGGAACCTCAGATGTACCAAATATTATAGGGCATGATTGAATGCTCCATGGAAGGAGCTTAGGTGTTGAAAGAATAGTCAGGAACCTATTAGGGTGACACAAAGCTCTTAACAATTAAGTGGCTATTTGATAACAGTTGAAATGGTTGAACTGAATGATGTATTGCCTTGTCTTTTACTGAATAAGATGTTAAGGAGGTTTTGAGCTCCTTAATGTCTGAAGCTAAAGTTGGATTGATTGACTCTCCATGGAAGAAGAAGCTCATGTTTTGGAAGGATGATCAGGAATCTACTTGGGTGATGCAAACCTCATACCAGCTTAATAGCCTAACATTGTCCAAGAATTCAGAGCAACGGAAAATTGCAAACAATACCAAAAAGAATAACAATGCTGGGATTAAATTGTAATCTGATATTGTCATGACAATAGGGAGGGAACAAACTAGTAAGTACCTTTCTTAAACTGGTTGCTTCCTCTTCAAATCTATTATGTTATAAAAGATAGTTAACTTGGTCAATGACGCATCCGATCAGTTCAGTGCATTTAACTTGATACTCATTAAGAGGAACTCAGTCAACTCACAATGTTCCGAGTCAAACGTATTGGCCTGAATGTTTATAAATTTGATACTCATTATACATGATTTTCTATGTAAATGTCAAAAAAAAAAAGAGAAAAGAAGACACAACAATTTAGGGATTGAGTAATACTACTAATGAACAACAAATTAATAGGAAGTTTGGGAACATGAAGGGTATGGGGTAAAAGAAGTTCATTCGGAAGAGATACAAATCCTTGACCAGCAATGGTGGAGAAGGACCCATCAGCTAGTCTCACTTTTCCTTACTGGAGAGAAGAGTGTAGGTTTGAAATAAATTTGACTCACTAGTCATATGATTAGATGCCCTTGAGGGGAATCTGGAACAGAGGTAGGCATATGAAATGTAGAAGCATTTTTACCTGATGTAGACGCAAAGGAGGTAGAAGGGGTAGGAGATGACCTATCCATCTGTCCAAGGATCCTACCATACAATTCCATGTTATCTTTGAAGGAGTTAATGATTTCTTCCTTAGGGTAAAAACCAACAGAATGCTCTTGGGAAGTACCAATAGCCAAATTATTCGATTAAGAATCTTGAGTAGCCAAATTTGCAGAGGTAAATTTCTTTTGAGTAGGCTTCTTTGAAATATCTTGATTTTTGGCCGGCTATGGTGGAGAAAGAACCATCAGCTAGTCTCACCTTATCTCTTCCAGAGAGAAGATTGTATGCCCGAAATAAATTTGACTTACCGGTCATGTGGTTTGAGGCTCCAGAGTCGATTACCCAAGGAGAATCAGAGGTATGAGATGACACATGGAAGGCAGTGGTAGTGTTACCTGATGCAGACGCAAAAGAGGTAGGAGTAGGACCAGAATCCATTTGGCGAAGAGTCCTATCATATAACTCCAAATGGTCACGGAAGGAGTTGATGATCTCTTCCTTAGGGTCAGAACTGTGATGCTTTTCTTGTGTTACCATGGGACCAATCTCTTGAGATGCCATATTAGCTGAGTTATACTTTTTTCTGATTCTGCTGACTTGGTTTCTTGCCCTGATCAGTTGTTGACTTCTTACCCAAATCCTATGCCTATTTAGGTTTTCCATGGAGATCCCTACATGTATCTCTAGTGTGTCTTGTCTTCTGGCAGTGAGTGCACCAAGGCTTACTCTTATCATCTGTTCTCTTCTGAGAGTCACCCTTCTTAAAACCACCTCCAACATTAGTATCTGAACTTCCCCGGACTGCTAGGGCAACTGGCTCCCCATCTGTACAATTCATCACATTTCTTCTACTCTCTTCTGACTGAACCAAGGCATAAACCTCTTGAATTGATGGCAAGTCTTTACTTCCCAAGATCTGCACCCTGATGGACTCATATGAAGGATTCAGCCCCAAGAAGAAGGCAAATACCCGTTGCTGAGATACAAGTGATTTGTATGCCTTTGCATCTTCATCACACTTCCAGTTAACATTCTGATAGTGATCAAGTTCTTTCCATATCGATATCAGATCTGAATAGTACACCGAGAGACTCCTTTCCCCCTGCTTGCAAGTGGACGATTCATCTTGCAGTTGGTATATCTTGGCATAGTGTCTCTGCTTTGAATAGGTGGACTTTGCTTGTTCCCATATTTCACAAACAGTTTCAGCCCACATAAAAGTTTTTCTCACCTATGGCAGCATGGAAACCAAGAGCCATGACATCACCATACTATTTTCTTGGTTCCTTTATCATATTCAGCACTTCCGCTCTTCGGTTCCTTCACTTTCCCATTGATGTATCCTATTTTTCCCCTAGCAGTGATGTAGAGTTTTATTCTCCTAGACCATTCACGGTAATTCAGACCATCAAAGGGAATAACAGCCATGGGGAAACTCATATCCATTCCCCCACTCACTCCATTTTGACTTCCAGAAATCCCTGAAGTAGCAGGATTCTCAGACGACATGGTCAACACAGAATTTTTTTATTTAAAACCTCAACTTAGGATCCCTTTTTATATCAGAACAAAAGGCTCCACACACAACAAGTGATCAGTCCACACACACTTCAGTTTTTTGGACTTAATCAGTGCACAAGACCAACACCAATTTCCAAAAAAAATAATATGACAGATCTGATTCAGACCTGTACAGGAGGTCTACAAGCATTAATCACAAGGGGAGATCCTTACACACAAGACATCAAGCCAACAAGTAGAGAAAACAGGTCATACATGACCTACAACCACCTTTCACAGGTATAGGATCACACGATCCAAAACAAACAGAGGTAAAAAACTTCACAAGGGTCTGCCGACATTCAGTGGTTCAGATCCATTCGTTTTCCTCTTGGTACACGACCAAGGGAAGAAAGAAAAACAAAAAAAAGGGGCGGTACCAGTTGCAGATTTGATTCGATCAGCCCAGATTTACTCCTCTGTTCCGCCTAGATTCAACAGCTTGGAGAAGACACGTGATCGCCCAGAGTCAATGGCCACGCTTTGATACCATCTTGATAGTAAATCCGATTGAAGATTACAACAAAAGAGGAGAGAGGAGAAGAGAAGAGAAGAGAAGAGAAGAAGGAAGAAAGGAGAAGGATTAGAGGCAATGGAACAGTGTTGACGGCGCCAACTTCATTATAATATATAGGGCGAAAAAAATAAGAAGGGAAATGACCCTTGTGCCCCTACTAGGGGTGGCAACGAGCCGAGCTTTTCATGAGCTGCTCGAGCTCGTTTCGTGAAAAGCTCGGCTCGGCTTGGTTTCAGCCAAGCTTGAGCTCGAGCTCGAGCCCAATTCAGTGGCTTGATTAATAAACGAGCCGAGATCGAGTCTATTAGAGCTCGACTCGTGAGGCTTGCGAGCCGACTCGAATATATAATATATATATATAATAAAATTATAGAAAATATATATATATATATAATAATGAAAATATTATAATTATTAATGATTATAATTCTTAATTTTTAAATATAAAATAAATTTTTTATATATAATTTTTATTTTTATAATAAAATATTTATAAAATATA